ACCTGCTGAGCTAACTTGCCAACATATGTTTAAGGTTTTATAAAGCTTTCTCTTAACTTTTTTTTTTACTATCCCTTTATTTTTATTTCTGTAAATTAATCACAAAATGACTTGAAATATTAAAAATAAATAAAAATGGTGTTTTGGACCCTGTTAGTCAGATCCATGTTTTTTTCTGGTATAGTGAAGTTAAAGCTTCCCTGTGGTTCCATTGTGAAGCTAAGGTTGAGAACCACTGTTCTAAGTAGACTTCATCTGGACAAAGAAAAAAGGAGATTAGGTAAAATGCTTTTGAGAAAGTTAAGTAATGAGTTATAGTCTAGAATAGGCCTACCAGATGCATGGTACTGACATAAGAATTATAAAAGAGATTAATGGATTAGACCAGACAACCCAGAAGCAGATCCTAGAATATGTAAAAATTTAACATGACTGAGTGTCATAAATTAGTAGATTAGATTAGTAATTTTATTTCTTGGAATTTGTCCTAAAGAGGTCATCTCTGCTAGGGAATAAGAAAGCTTTCTTCCTAGCTTTTCCTATATTCACTGGTATTCCTTCCCAAGAAAGGTAGGCAGTAATCAAATTGGGCCACATTTTATTAGTTTCCTGCTTCCTCTTTCAGTGCTCCTCAATGAGTACAGTATGCAGAGGACTAAGTCTTTGGCTAGGCCGGGTAATCTTGAATTCTAGTCCTTTCACAAAAATCTGTGAGAGTTCTTACTGCTTAGGGCACCTCAGTGTGCTGGTGGTAAATTTGGCTTTGGGCTTTAGGCTTTGTGGGAAGGGAGAGGCAGTGCTTAGGCCCTTTGGCTCAAATAAACTGGATTACCAAAGATCATTACTTCAGGGTGTCTAGCAGTAACCCAGCTAAAAGTGGTCTTTGATTTACCTTTTGATAACCTCCTCCCTCTCTCCCTACTCTGCTTTCCCCTTAATGCCCCTTATACTGCACCCCTCTTTTGTGTTTGTGTGTAGGGTGTTTGTGTGTAGGGCAGGATTTATGCATTTATGGGTTTTCTAGTTCAGTGCTTCCCATCTTTTTCATCTCAAACACATATGTAAAATATTTCAGGACCAAGGATATAATGAAAGGAGGTGCTTAAGGCCAGAGGCATTAGGTTCTGTGTATCCATTGTTTCTCAAATACAGGTTATGACGCATTAGTTAAATGAATCAAGTGGGTTGCCACCATCATTAAAATAAATGAGGATGATAGAATGCATCATTTGTTGTTGAAAGGATTATATGAGTCGTGTTTATGACCTGGAAGTATAATATGTATTTATATGGGTTGCTGTCGAACTTTGCAAGCTATTTGCTCTAGCCAAATACTGATGAATAATGCCCCAAACCTCTCTTAAGTTGCGTTATTCTTTAACAGGGGGACATATTTATGAAAAAAATTTAGACTTAAAATATTGCAAAATCTGAACAAGGAAACCAGCCAGGTAAATCGTGACATATCCTTTTAGCTAATTTGCTCAAGGTAGTATTCCCTTATTCTTCAGTATTTTCTGGGTTTGCAGTGAAGGTCTGGAGGTTAGTAATACTTTTCTTAGAGTTCTTGTAGAGTCAATGGGGTTTTCAGGAACAGTTATCGTGCTATGATATATTGGTAACAGCAGAGAAATCAGATTTGCCCCTGTTCTGCTGTGACAGCCTTGGATGAGTTACTGATCCCATTTATGTCTGTTTACTCATCCATAAAAGTGGAACTAAGAGTGCGTGTATTATAAGGTTACTGTTAGTAGGAAATACAGTAATGAATGCAAAGTGCTCAGCATGTTGCGTGGACATTGCTGTGAGTAAAATTAATTGCAGGCTAAGTTTTGCCTCTTACATTATCGAATCTCTCTTTGTGCCTTAATTTCTCCTTCAGCTTACATTTCAGCTAATATTATTAGATTACCTCATTTGAATTTGAGAGAGTTAAAATCAGAAAATAATAAATGTAAAAAATACTGTATAAATTTATCGTGGTATTAATTCTAGTAGTAGCAATATAAGAAACCTGTTTGCATTGTATATGAGCTGATTAATAATTTTATGTCCAAATGGATAGAATCAGTAGTTGATTCAGATGGGGAGAAATATATACTTTCAGTTCTATGAAAGTGCCAACCTCTTTCCTGCCTTAGGCCTTTGCAGTTATTCCTTTCGCCTGAAATATTGTCGTCTGGCCCCACCCCCATTTCTTCCTATCTGGTACCTCTTTCACAGCTGAAATGACACTGCTTTAGAAAGGCCTTCCCTGACCTTCTAGTCTGAGTAGCTTGCAGCTGGTTGTTTTAAAATCACTTTAAAAAATCATACCATTAACTACTACTTGGTTCTTGATTATGTTTTTTGTCTGTTTTCCCATCCCCAACTAGAATGTAAACCTTGAAGAAGAGGGACCTCACTTGTATTATTTATTATTATTTTTCCTGTACCTAGATCAGTGCCCAACAAACACTTGTTGAATGTTTGAATATAATGTAAAGTATGAAAAATTATTCATAGTCATACTTTCCAGAGATAAATTATTATTGTTATAGTATGGTGTATAGTTCTAGTGTGCTTACATATGTACAAATGTCTGTGATTATGCTTTTATTGTATATTTCATTGAGTCTAAAGATAAACATTTTTTACTACATTTTATGTCTAAAATTGGGATGTCTTATAATCAAGTGTATGCCTATGTTTAATTGGCAGCATTTTTTTCTTTATCAGTGGCACATAAACTGAAGATGTGTTGAAGTCTATAGCATCTTAGATTTGATGAAATATGGTATATATTTGAAACAAAAATGGGATCATGATGTTCAACTCTTTGTTCAACTCCTCTGAATATCTTGAGCATTTTCCACATTTTGCTCTATTTAGATCTATCTCATTCGCAAGAGGTATGATTAAGGGTGTGTTATAAATTTTTCCACCAATTTCTCTTGATGGACATTTGGGGCTTTTCCCATTTTGTTTTCCTATTACAAACAGTGCTGTTTTAAATATCTTTGTACACATCATTATGCACTTAAAGTGAAATTTCTTTTGATGATTTACCTAGATTGGTGGGTATACATATTTCGGGTAGTGTACAATGGTACCTATTTCTGTAAACCCTTAAATACAAGTACTGCGTTTTAGGACATTTAAAAATTTTTGTTAATATAAATGAAAAATATCCTAGTGTTTTAATGTCATTTCTTAAATTATGAATAAGGTTGATTACAAACCTCTTTCATGCTTATTTGCTGTTTATCTCTTCTGTGATTCTTGTGCATAGAATGGTAGACTTTTAATTGGCTGGCAGAGAAATCTTCAGTTTGGAGTCATGCATTATTAATTCTTGGGGAACAACTTTCAGGCCTGCCAGAGCCCACCCTTGTGAAGGACATGAGGGCTTTACAAGGACCCAAGGTTGGGGAAGAGACAGAATTCAGGAATAACTGGAATTGTAGTGTCCTTTATAATGGAGGCCAAGAAAGGTTACAGTATCGTTAGTTTGTGGGCTGAATACTGGAACTTAGACTCTGCTGTTAGTCTTTAAACTTTAAATATTCCTCTTCTCAAACCTTGTTCTTTAATATGTCTTGGTTGTAGTGTAGTAGTGTTAGGTTAGCAGGTTTAAATAGGACACAGCTCTGTGACTTGAGCGAAGTCAATATTGGATCCAGAGATTAAATCTTTAATCTTTTAGATTAAATTAATATGGGTTTTTTGCACATTGTTAAAATGTTCCTGTTAACGGGGCCGGCCCGGTGGCGCACTGCTACAGTGCGCCGCTTGGGAGCGCAGCGGCGCTCCCGCCAAGGGTTCGGATACCACATACGACCGGCCGCTCACTGGCTGAGTGAGGTGCGGGCGCAACACCGAGGGTTGCGATCCCGTTGCCGGTCCCGGTCCGGTACGGGCGCAACACAGAAGGTTGCAGTCCGTTGCCAGTCATGCGGGCGCAACACCGAGGGTTGCGATCCCGTTGCTGGTCCCGGTCCGGTACGGGCGCAACACAGAAGGTTGCAGTCCGTTGCCAGTCACGAAAAAAGACAAAAAGGAAAAAAAAAATGTTCCTGTTAACATTTTTGAGTACCTTTGCTATGTCAGACCATGTCACTTTCAAATATGGATATCAGATGTCTGCCTTTTAGGTTCCACTGCAGTCTGTAGAGGTGACAGATTTCAATCCTTTGGTAAAAGTGAAGCTAGAAGATACATGGAATATGGAGAGCGTGGTGGAAGGCCTTTAGTCTATTATGGCAATTTAAGGAAGGCTTCCTTGAGAAGATAGGATAACCTAAACTGAATCTTGAAGGATGAGTAAGAGCTGGAGTAATAAGTAGTAAAGGAAAGACTAAAACATTTGAGGTAAGGAGTTTATGGTGAGGTTGGGGAGATAAGGAAAAACCAGGTAATCAAGGGTCTTGAATGCCATGCTAAAGATCCTATATTTTATAGGGCAAGGGGTAAATTAGAGTTTAGAAATCACTGCCAGGAGATTGAGCTAAGAGACAAGACTGAAGACAAGCAAATGTTTTGGGAAATAGTTCTAGTCATCCAGGTGAGAGAGTTAAGGCCTCAATCCTATATTTTATAGGGCAAGGGGTAAATTAGAGTTTAGAAATCACTGCCAGGAGATTGAGTTAAGAGACAAGACTGAAGACAAGCAAATGTTTTGGGAAATAGTTCTAGTCATCCAGGTGAGAGAGTTAAGGCCTCACTTAGCTCAGTGGTAATAGCTTACTCGGAAAATGCTAGTCATTTTCTTTAGTTTATGTATAGCCCTCTGTCGTTCAGAATCCCACTGAAATGAAAAATCTTGGAACTGGGTTTATTATTTTGCAGAGATAGCTTATATTAATTGTCTGATTGTTTTTCATTCTTTTGTGTCTGTAAGAAGTTTATACTTCTTGCTTTTGTGTAAAAGCAATGCTTTGTTAGATTAAATTTAGGTTCTAAACTTAAGGAATTTATAATTTCTATGTGCTAATTTCTTTCTTTTTTTTTTTAAGGCTACTAGCAAAAGATGGTGGATCGCTTGGCAAACAGTGAAGCAAATACTCGACGCATAAGTATAGTAGAAAATTGTTTTGGAGCAGCTGGTCAACCCTTAACTATACCTGGACGGGTTCTTATTGGAGAAGGAGTATTGACTAAGTTGTGCAGAAAAAAGCCCAAAGCAAGGCAGTTTTTCTTATTTAATGATATTCTCGTATATGGCAATATTGTCATCCAGAAGAAAAAATATAATAAACAACATATTATTCCCCTGGAAAATGTCACTATTGATTCTATCAAAGATGAGGGAGACTTAAGGAATGGATGGCTTATCAAGACACCAACTAAATCATTTGCAGTTTATGCTGCCACTGCCACTGAGAAATCAGAATGGATGAATCACATAAATAAATGTGTTACTGATTTACTCTCCAAAAGTGGGAAAACACCCAGTAATGAACATGCTGCTGTCTGGGTTCCTGACTCTGAGGCAACTGTATGTATGCGTTGTCAGAAAGCAAAATTCACACCGGTTAATCGTCGTCACCATTGCCGCAAATGTGGTTTTGTTGTCTGTGGGCCCTGCTCTGAAAAGAGATTTCTTCTTCCCAGCCAGTCCTCTAAACCTGTGCGGATTTGTGACTTCTGCTATGACCTGCTTTCTACTGGGGATATGGCCACATGCCAACCTACTAGATCAGACTCTTTCAGTCAGTCATTGAAGTCTCCTTTAAATGATGTATCTGATGATGATGATGATGATGATAGCAGTGACTAAGGACACATTTTGAAATATTTAATCGGGTGTGACTATCTGAGAAATCAGCTTTGGGGGAAATGTAAAATTCTGAGCTTTCTCCATTTTGCTGTAGCCATGAATTTGCCTGAGAAACTTTTAACCTATGTGCCTCAATATATTCTATAGAAAGTAGGTTGCTCCTGCCTTCACCTCCTCCCTGCACTTTTCTACAGGGATAAACTATTACAAATATATAAGATAAATTTTTGATTCCTTATTCTTGTTTATTTCTAGATTATTTTCTTGGAAGGTTGGGAAAAGATGTTTATTTAACAGATCACATACTACATTGTTGTTTTTATTTCTATTATGTGGAAAAGCTAAAAAGTACAGGATGATGGGAAAGGGAATAAAATGTAGTTAATTAATAATATGAGCTTTTTTTTCTTAACCATCTTATGGTTAAGACATCAGTAACAAAAGTACATGTTTTGGAAATACTTTGGCTTTTTCATATACCGAATGGTGCCTTATAATGCACTGTTACATGAAATAAGCCCCTACCTTCTCACTTTTTGGTTTGTTTAAAAAAATACAGTGGTGCTCTCTGAGGTGATAAAAATGAATGTTTATGAATGGGTGTAATTAGGAAATACTTCTCATCTGACAGCTACGAATAACTAAATTGAGGTATCTTCATTCTATGTGAATAAATATTTTTCCATAAAATAGTTGTGATTGTTTTTTTACATTTTATAGGTACCAAATTATAATTATCAAATATATATTTTAAATTAATAATAGGTTGTCATTCTTAGGAATTTGGTTTGAAATTTATCAGTAACATAGAATTGTCATATTGCGTTAGCTTCTACTTTTAATAAGGTATTTTTAGATATGAATTCATCTGCTTTAACATTATTTCTAGAATGAAATATCTTCTTACAAAACCCTTGAAAATAAACAATCTCTTTTTAAAAATCCCATGATAGAGCACAGATTTACTTAAGCTTGAAGATTTGGAAGAAATAATGTGTTAAGAATGGTCAAGGCAGACAACTTTGTTTGACTAAACTTCATGTCTGGAAGTATTGTCTGTTTCAGTATGAAAATATCTTGAATTTACAAATATGAGTATAGTGTTATATTTTATGAAGTTTTGTAAAGTCCCAAACAATATTTCTATTTTTGTAAACAATTGTATGTTTAATCCGTTTCTGAAATCATTTTGCAATCTATGGAAATAGAGTAGCAATTAATATTTCTAAATTGTGATCAGGTTAGTCTAGATTGCTTTTGAGAAGTAGTAATTTTTGACTATTTGCTTTTGAGGCAGTCGTTAGATTGAAAGTATATTTATCATGTAAAAGATGCGTTTTGCACTACTCTCTCCATTAGTATGCTGCAAATAACTGCAGTCTTTCAAGTGTGGAAAATCAGTCTAATGTTTGTTTTAAATTCTAAATTTAAGGAAAATCTATAAATCTGGGTATATTGCAAATGTCATGAGAGGTTTGATTCAATAACTTGTGATGGGGGATTATTTGGTATCCTAACTGTTTGGGTAAGGTTCTAATTTTACATTACTGTTAAATTTTGAAAGCATCTGAGATGTACAGATCTCTCTGTAAGAAATGTGAAAGAAAAGCACAACAGTTAAGAGTTGTTTTTTTTTTTTTCTGGTTTGTTTTAATATCAGATGGACTTTTATTTCTATGCAATATATACATATAATCAATCAACATATCAGAGAAAGGACCATGAAACCTGAGAAATGCTAATGGAGACTTGCCGGTATATAGGAACCTAGCAAATTCAGGAATGAAGGGGAAATATTCCGAGATAACATTTTCATTGTCTGTTTTTACAATAAAAAATATTTTACAATTTACCTTCTCTATATTGTGACTTGAAGATTTTTTCCCTTTGTTAAGATAATAGATATCATGTGTATTTTGCTTCAGTATTCAACAGCTGTGAACGCCTACTGTGTGGTAGACATTGCTGTAGGTGGTAGGGCTAGAGCAGTGAACAGAAATTCCTCCTTTTCATGGAGTTTACATGCAAATAGAATCAAGGTGTTTTCTTCCAGAGTTTTTTCTATAATTTTTAAAGCTCTTATAAATCTTGGTTATATTTAAACCTGAAGTGATTTTGGTGCTGATTTTTCATGCCATTCATTTAAAAAAAATTTATTGAATCATAATTGATTATACATATTTTGGGGGTTCAACATTGATGTATGTTGATCAAATCATTATTAGCATATACAGTATTACAATTGTAATGGTTACTCTGTTGATTGGTTGCCTAAATGATCTGTCCAGTGCTGAGAGAGTGGTGTTCAGGTCCCCCACTATTATCATAGAGCAGATGCTTATATCACTCTGGAATGGGCTTTGTGGAAAGAGACAT